CTTTCCCTTCAGGAGGGCATGAATACGCACAGCCTCTTTCCATGGGACACCACCCAAGTCTGAAGGGGGTGGTTCATCATCTTCCTCTTCATCTTCCTCCTCCATCTCAGACTCTGAACTACTGTAAAAGTTTAGAAAAAAAAAATTAAAGAAAAATTAATGAATGTTTCCTAGATCAGTCTTAGATGACTGACAAGTTGTTTCAATATATACAAGACCAAAATGTATGATGGAAACTGTAATACTAATTTTCTGCTTTCAGGATTTCACAGGCATTTTAGTGACACCATAATGTGTGGACTGCAATATGGCCCTTGCCCTGCTTCTTTCAAAGGCAGTAAAGTAGAGAAAAGTGTCTGTGAAGCCAAATCCAAGTATTTGTGCAGCATTAATTATTAGAGTTTGCGGCAGCTGAATACAGCAGAAATAAACTACTTTATTCTTCTCACACGTGCAAGGGTTCTTAGCCATGTCAGAACACAGAAGGTCACATCTCTCAAGAATGGCAGCTACTGCTAGCATTCTGGATAGCTAAGATGTTTTTGGCACTTGCTGGGGTGAGCCACAGAAGGCATTTGGGTGCAGAGAGGAAACACAACACAACCACCAGGCCAAAACATACAGCATGCGAGCTAAGGAGAGGTGGAGGAAAACAATATAAAATTTCTCAATTTCTACAACACAGACAGAAGTACAGTATGTAGCCAATCGAGTGCACAGTGTACATAGTGGCAGTAGGAAGCAGTGCAAGGATAATTACAATAATGAGCTTCTTATTCTCATAGCAAAGTCTACTACATGCAAAACAGTAAATGAGTAGTGCTTTTTAGTAGACATCTCTGTTTAATTCTAAAGCTTCCACAGTATAAGCAACAGAGGCAAGAAATGTAACCCCCTACACAATGACATTTTATCTAGCTCACTCTTACACAATGAACTACCTAGAGGTAATGGGGAGAAAGATGGTTGCATTTGTCCTCATAAAATGAATGTGACCAAGATCACATTCAGAGAACATTATCTGCAAGGTGAGAAAGTCCTCTTCCTTCACTTTTCCTGCACAGATCACTAATAACTGTATTTCCTAGGTTCTCAATTGGATGCTTCCCATACTTATCTTAAAAGGTCCACATTAATCTCGACTGAAGAAGAAAACTGCTTGTGAATGGTTAAAGTTTGGGTGAATCACCTGAGATCGTTATTCCACATCTGTTGCTTCCTTATGACAGCTATTTGTGTAGTTAAAAGCCCTTGGCAGCACCCATTCCATACAGAAAATGAGAGGGGAAATGGCAAGTTGAAAATAAGGAAGTTTACATTTCACAAAGGTCTTTAAAATATAAGTTGTACAGTTGTTGCAACTCTGTTTCCCACACACAGGTTTTATTGCAGTATGTGAGAGTTTTAAAAAAATGTACATACAGCAGCATTCTCTCTTACATTGCATAACACATATTCAGGTGAAGAACTTCAAATTAGTCTAACACTACGTTAATAGATCAAATTTACATAAAATTATTAATTACTTGTCTGAGACACTATTTCTCACAGCAAGGCTAACAAGAAAAATACCATTTCTTCATGTTCTAATTGTCATATACTTCTGTCCACAGGGTCTTTAATTCTCCTCACTGTTCTGCACAAATATAACATTATTTGCTCAAATTACGGTCCAATTTTTCACAGTATAAATTGAATGCTTCTTTTTAACAGATTGCCTGGTTTTCACATGCTAAGTACTGAACACAAACCCTGTTGCATGCCATGGACTCGGTGTATAATTCAGCAGACTGAAACATATTCCAAAAGCTTTCCACAGATATTGTCACAGAGATAGAGTGATGTTCCCCTCCTCTCCCTGATTAACTTTGCCACCCTTTTGTATGGAAATAAACCTGACAGGTGCTGAATGCTGGGGTTTTCATGTGTTGTCAGTAAGGTTTACTGCTGCTCAAACTGTTGCCAGGACCGCTGAACAGGACAACCTGCTGCTCTTCAACCAGCCAGCTTATCGCATGTAATAGTGACGACACCAATTCTTTACCACATAGCTCACTTTACATTCTTTGGCTTTTATTTATAAACTGGTTTTTGTTTGACCTTTGAATGCTAAGGAATGAGAAGCTGAATGATGGCAGTGAGATGGCCCGGTAGAGTGGGCATTCCCTTTCAGCATGGCAACTCTGTGCTACAGGGATTAATTCAACAGCTGAAACTCTGGCCTCCTCCTTGCCCCCCTCCTTGCCAGCAAAGCAGAGATCAAAGACCAAAGCAGGTTGCTTTACAGATTTGTATAAGCAGTTGAGTACCTGTTTAATAAGGCATACCTACGCAGATTTAGTGCTGAGAAGAGGAACCAAAGATCTAAACTGTGGAAACGAAGCTCTTCCTTTTCCCTTACCATACACATCCGTACAGCACAAACTGTGCCATGAAACTCCTTTGAAAGGCCACAGGGTATTATACCAAAACTGCAGATGACATACTGGGAGTTACTGCAAATTAAAGGGGATGAATGAAGTATCTAAAGTGTTTTCTGCCCCTCAAAAGCTGCGTAGTCAGGCTTGGTTTCTTAAATTCTTTTTTTTCTTGTTAAAGTTTAAACAAGATTAAGTCTCTCTTGAAAAAATGTACTTTGAATACTATTTTCTGCAAGTTTTCTCTGCAGTGTACATGGTCCTACGTCTGTGTGTGATGGGAAGTTGTGCAGCAAAATGCATGGTCTCTGCTTAAATTAGAGTTAACACCTCAGTGCACCCTGAAGCCAAGTCCATTGCTCTGTAAGGCGTGGAGGAACAAAAAGTTCCCCATCTCCTCTGCCTGCTCCTAAACGTGTGGTGCTGCACCAAGACAGTAAAGATGATCAAATCAGGGCTTTGGTTGGCTTGTTGCAGGAGTTAAAAGTTTATTACTTTTGCTGCTGAAAAGTGGTCCATCTTTTTCCCTTTGTTTTTGTTGTTGTTTTCAGGAGGGGAAAGAGGAGGACTTTCTGTGACATATAATGCAATGAGTAGAGCTGAACTGAGGACACCTGACAGCTACATCTGCTCTTTGGCCCATACAGCCTTGGCTTCCTTGGATTATGTACTGAGTACATTCCTAGGCTTCTTTGGATTTGGGACAGAAATTTTTCCAAGTCAAACTGACAGGCAATTTGATGTATTTTCTTCTTCCTCTCTATCACAGTGTGTTAGTTGCTCACTGAACATGCTTTTCACATGCAAAATTATGCAATTCAGTCTATTATAGGCAAAATTAGTCAATTTAACACAGGTTAAGAGAAGTACGTAGGACAAAGGGAATAAAATGCAGCACCCTGCAAAAAGAAATCAGACTTGCTAACCTAATAGCATACTGCCCTCGGACCACAATTGCACAAAACATTGGAGATGACCAACAGCTTCATGCCACAATTTCACTTTTTTAACTAACACTTCTTCTCCTTTGGAAGTTTTCTACCATTTACTGAGCAGGCCTACTCTGTCCTAATTTACTGAAATCAAGACCAATAATAATACTCCATACTAGTAAATTTTGGCTAACAGTTAGGAACAAAAAGGACTAAAACACCCTCAATATCATTAATGCCTACATTGTCACAGGTGGTATAATTCTTAGGCCTGAGCAGGGAGCTAAAGGAAGGATGAGTGAAACAATCAAGAGCTTACATCTCCCACAAATAGTCCCATGATCATACAACCAGAGCACTAGCTAAGATCACAATTATGTAAAATATCAAAATAGTGTCTTCTAAAGAAATTAATATATTAAGAAATTAAGCAAAAAGTATTCTTTAGGTTTCAGAGAAAACAGCTGTACAAGACATTAGCAATTGCCAGGCACTTATATGAAAGCCACACTTTCATGAGTCTTCATGTGCACACCCTCTGTCAAAGGCTGAGTTGAGGCTACTTGAAGTTACTCCTTACCAGATCCTCCTTCTTCAAACTTATCAGATAAGTAAATTACAGATTATATACTATGTAAATCCCATAAACATTTTAATGAACACTTCTATGCCTGCATTTTTTGTCACACCAATCCAATTCAATTTCACATGTATCTATGTAGTAAGGAATTTCTCATACAGCCCTGTACCTGTAGGTAATGCATACATAGAATATGTTTGTAGGTCTCCAAAAACCAGAAGCAGCATTTTCTGAGTTAATTTCAAGACTACTAGACAGATTGAGAACTGAAAAAGCAGGGTTGTTAATGCTACTAAGAAAAGTAGATTATTAGAAACCATATAAAGAGATTTAAGACTCTGCAAAAAGTGTGACTATAAAGTTCTCAAGTTCTTCATCAAGTATTTTCTTTCAAGATCGCTGCAATAAATATTTTCAGTAGCTCTATGTACATATATTTGGATCCTGGTGTGCTTATACATAATTTTGCAGATAAAGACTAATTTGTGAAGGTATATAATAATATATAACATAATATATGTAATATATAACATAGGTTTTATATATAATGTATATATAACAATTTTCAACAGCCATAATTATTATATCAAATTAATCTCTGTCAGGCATTTAGTCAGGCCTACATGGGTGTCAAGCTTGAATCTTTGAACCATAAGCAGTTTTCAATTGTAATGCAAAACAAGGAGAAGAAGTTAACTTCAGAACCCCCTCCCATTCTGAATCCATGCTCTCTTTATTCAAAAGACTAATTTGTCTTTGACATAATTTAAAAAAAAAACAAAAACATAAAAAAAACCCACTTCCAACTTAGGACTGAATTTCATGGTACTATGGTACTACAGGTGTCTTCTAAGAATGCTAGTAAGCTATTTAGAAGAACGGTCTTCAAGATAAAATACCTGTGTGTATACCCAGAACATTTACAAAAGCTTTAAGGGAAATGCAGGCAAAAGTCTATTGGGATTGGTATAAGAAAGCTTATGGGCAACTTGTGCTGACCTGCTGGGCACATCCTCTTCCGTTCCTTTGTCCAACACACTGCTCAGGTTGTGTTCTGCTAGTGTTTCTTCAGGAACCTCTTCCAGCTCCTCCTCCCGCTGCAGGGACAGGCGGTAGTTCTCCAGCTCAATCCGCTCGGGCGTGCCGCGCAGCCGCTTGGCGAGGCTGGGCTCTTCCAGCCCGTTTATGTTAGAACCTAAAGAAAAAGCCAGTGAATAAACATTAGACGCAACAGCCAGAACTATAATTTTTTAAGGAAATTGAGCAATTGGGAGAAGCAGAGGGAGGTAAATAAAGCAAGAGAATACCTTATGTCATTATCCTGTTCACCATTACTGGCAGAACCTGTTGGCGAGCCAGACTGCAAAAGGGAATCTTAATGATTTTGGCTAATAGATGGTAAAAGGAATGTTAAATGTTGTAACAGAGAGGAAATAAGGACATTTTAGCTGCAAAAACTACAGCTGCAATGAAGCCTATGTAGTAAATATTGGGGAAGGCCTGACCACAGACTGGATATATTCTATGAAACAAAAGTAGGAATGCTATGGGCAATCCTGCTGCATAAAGTCAAAACTTACCAATCAAGGTAGGTCTACAGAGGCAAGGAGCAAAAAACCACTAATATTACTTAAAGATGGGGAAGGAAGGGAACGGAAAAGGCCCTCTTGGAGCAAGTTTTAAAACTTTTTTGAATTAGACTTTGGGATGAAGTGAACCAACAGGAAAACTCTAGGTGAGATGCTTGCAAACACAAATCCCATCAGTCCCAGAAAATCACAAGGACATGTGAACCAGGTAGTTAGAAAAAATAGCACAGGTGCTTCATTCAATGTGGCATTCAATTAATTAAATTCTAACCTGCGTTCATTCATTTCTTTTTTAAATTCTAGTATTTTAGCTTAAATACCACTCTCTACCCTTACTCAGTTTACTATTTATAGAGCCCAATCTTGCTTCGCTTCTGTTTTGTTTTGCTTAAGAAGCCAAGCCTTCTTCTCATGAGAGAAACTCTTCAGTGTGCTGATCATCCCCTAGGTCTCTGCACCTGTTCCAGTTTGGATCAATCTTTCCAGAACCTGTGTGATTAGAATTGAACACAGCTTTCCAGATGAGGCCTTATCAAGGTAACATACAACCCTGCCAGAAATCTCTCATCAGACGTACACTGCGAACACACTTGCCTATTTATACACCACATAATGCCAGCGGCTTTTATTTATTGACTGATATTCAGACCTTTCTCCTTCTCTGCTTTCAGCTGATAAGCACCTTGTCGGTAGCCAGATTTCTGAACGCTTTCTTAGTGCGTCACCTGGTACTTTCTACTATTACATTTCTATTTTTACTATTATAGTCTGCAGCATTCTGCAGGTCTTAGTGTATGACATGCCTCTCCTCCTCTGCATTGAGGAGCCTCAGCAATTGTTTCATTAGAAGATTTTTCTCCCTTTTTTGCCTGTTACCTTATGGAAAGCATTACAGATTTGGGTCAGTCCCCAGATGATTTTCTGTGAAACTCCACAGTCTGTTCCTGACATCCAACTCCGTTATTTCCTCTTTCCAATAAAATAATTTCTAATCTCTAATCTCTCATTTAAGTAAAATTCTTAGCTACTTGATTTTTAATGTACTACTCCCCCATTTTATCCAGTTTAAATAATTATTTCCATGTGGCAGCCTTCTGCTGCTTTACTGAAGTCCAGACTGTTCACACACACTACATTTCCCTTATGAAGGTAATCGGTTACTTCCTCAATAAAAGCCATCGAGCTAGTCCAGGAGAGTCTTTGATGAATCCATGTCACATTTAATACCACTTACCTTCACAAGGTCAGGCTTCACTTGCAAAACTAGCAGTCTTTAGTTATTCCTTCAAAAGTGTTTTATTAACTGGTTAGATTAACTAATATGTACTTGTTCAGATCATATTTTTTCTCTTTTCTTTTTAATTGCTTATCTGCACGTCATAGTTTTGTCACCTAGTGGTCACACATATTACCCTGAATTAGGTAGTCAAGGTACATCAGGATAGCTCGATTTAATCACAGATTATTACCACAAAGCTCACAATTTTATTGCATAGTTGTTCTACTGTTCTGAGACAAAGACTATTTGGTCAAACTTAATTTCCACTCAATATAGTAATATTTCAATTTTGCTTCCAGATTCACTGGGTTAATTTCCATTTCAAAATCTTGCTACACAGTGATTTCTTTTGCTCCCATGTGCAATATCATTGTCCCAATTGAAACAGGAGGCCAAGTATTTGATTGCCTGATTATATATAAAATTCCATTTTGCATCAGTCACATTTTCACTGTGGATCCACTTCTGCTTTCTCTTACCTTGCTTCCACTTCCATGCTTAAGGAATACAGCTGTTTGCTTTCCTTTCCATTGCAAAGTCTAACCCAGCATGAGCTTTGCCAACATTTACTTTATCCTCACACGTTTTGACAACCAAGACAGTTTTTGTTTCTCCACCCTTTGCAGCTTCTCAATTTATTCCTAACAGCCTTTTTACCAGGGCAATTACTCACTCAGTACCATCTTAGTAATTCACACAAAACTACATAGGTCTTACATAGTTAGTGGTGTTCGTTTCCAACCCCTCTCCAGGAAGATAAAATTTCATCAAGATAACTACCAAGAGTGTTTTTCTCTCTTCCTTACTATTATCAAACCCTTCTATGACATGGGCAAGTGGCTGCTGTGCCCTCAGATTCAAATACAGTGTTTCTTTACAGTATAAGCCACAGAAGCTTGCTCAGGTGGCAGGCAGGAACATTACTATGCACTTCCAGGGATACTTTGGTCTCTACCATTTCCTGGTGCTAAGCCTTATGTTGTGTTAGTACTTTCAAAGTTTACTGGAACTGGACTGCCTTTTCATCTGTGATTCACGTTTCATTTCATTCTCTCTAGATGGTGATACCACCTCAGCCGAAATTATTTTTGTAATCTGTTACATTCCTCAACCCTGAGTTCACAGTAACAGGGGAACTGACCTGGAATACTGTTCTGCCACTTCTGGCTGACAGTGAAAAATCAAAGGACTCTGGGTAATGCAGTAGCAGCAAGGTGAGGCAAAACAAAGAAGGAATATACTGAATTAGCATAAACCAAGAGTTTTTCAACTTGGAGCTCTTTATATACAACAGAGCCAGCAGCTACACTCAGCAACTTCAGCAGAAGTATCTTCTCACAAACCTTCTAACTTGTTCTCTTCTGATGCATACACCCCAATATAGCTTCTTGTGGACAAGCAGGGAAAAAAAAGATCATAACAAAAAGCACAATAACTTTTTAACTATCTGACATTATTTCACTCTTCTTGTGTTCTGACAATCTTAAGGGGGTTTTGTCAGCCTTTTCAAAGTAAAACAAACAAAAAAACCCAAAATCATTCCCATACCATTAAATGAGTGGAGTATTTAAAAAAATAATGCTTGTTTCAATGCTGCAGTAACTGGGGTGGGAAAAAAGACTGGCAGCAACTACTCTAAGGTAAAAGAGGACTTAGAAGTCAAGTTGACAGCAGTTTATATGCATTTTGCAAACATATATGATCTTGTAGATACGTTACTTGAAATACAAACCATCATCACCCTTCTCATCATGAAGACCCAATATAACTGGTATATAGAGAATCAAAGCAATTCTATCACAAGTGGGAGTGACTCAATGCAACTGTGCTAAAAAAAAAACCTGAAGGGACAGAAAATCTGCCTAGATTTCAATGCAAGTGGACCTCACAGAGCCAAGATGTCTTGTGAGCTTGACAAATGCTCTGTCTGAAAATCTCAAAGAAGCAGCAAAGATATTTCCAGCACTTTGTTTAGTTGATTTCTGTATCCAGATACTCAAGATGCAGGATTAGTCACATCACTTTACTTCACTCTGCTAAGAAAACAGCTCTACACTGAAGAACATGATACAGAAACTCAATTGAATACCAGCTTCAAAAAGTAATTTCTAGGATTTTGGTCTATACAGACCATTTGGTCTACTTGGCCTATTAGCTTTGTTTTTAAAAGGTGCCATGAAAAGTCATCTGGCTAGCTGCAAAGCCACTGTCAAACTTGTTATCAAACATGAAAGAGGAGAAATGATACATGACAAGACCTTCAACTATCAGAATGAAAGGCATTACTATTCACAAACCTACTTTAGGGATGAAAGAGAGAGATACAATTATTGTTCACATGATAAGATGGTGAACAATTTGCTCACGTTGTGTTATGAAGTTCACACCAATTCATTTGAAGCTACAATAAGAAACTATAAATAGGGACAAGGACACTTGATGCCTTCCCACTCATATCCATCTATATGTTGTACTCATGGGCCAGGTCTATTCCAATGTGGTTTTTGTAGATGCTAAAACTTATTCCCTCATGTTCACCTGGAGAGGAAAGGCACTTCTCTCAAATAATTATGTTGTACTCCCCAGACTGTTTTGTAACTTGATGGTGGCAGATAGCTGCAGAGTGTGCTCATCCATTAGCTGACATTCTACCTTGTGTGGGTCCACAGAGCCCAAAGTTTGCACCTAGTCACACCTGAGAGAAAATGGGCTGACGAGCCAGCATTTGCCAGAAAAAAAAAAAAAAAAAGCCATGTTACCAGCCAGAGAGCAGGGCTACAATAAAGCCAAAAGCAGCTTCTCATGCCACCAACCGATCAGTTAAAAATCCACAAACAACATCCAAAATAGGACACACTTTAAAATCTCACTCTTTACTTTGGAAGAGTCAGTGGGCTGTGTACGTTACATAGATCATCTGAAGGGAACAGTTTTTCTTAACAGGACAGGCTGCTTAGCTGTTGCATGAAAGCTGCCAGAGTCCTTTATTTATCTCAGCCTTGACAGAGTCTGCCTCCTGTAAAGATAATTGTATGATCAAAGATAACATTCCTACACTGAATCACTCCTTGCTTGCATGAATGTGTCCTATTCTGGTAACTGTGGCAATTACTGGAAAGCTTGAGAAGTTCCTCTTGAGAGAATATCCCAACCTGATTTTCCCCAGTACTATCTTGTTCTATAAAATCTATACATTTTTCTCATGAGCTAGATGAAATAATGAAAACATAGAATAGTTTGGCTTGGAAGGGATTTTTAAAGGTCATCTAGTGAGCAGGGACATACTCATCTAGACCAGGTTGCTCAGAGCCCCATCCAACCTGGCCT